GGGTCTGGGGGGATCTGGGGGCACCTACCATGCAGGAGGAGGCACCGTTGGCGCCGGCGCACACCATCACGTCAGCGATGCGGAACCCCCAGTACTGCTTGCACTGGGTGTTGGTGAGCAGGGGCAGGGCCACCTGCTGCAGCACCGGCGGAGTCTGGGAGGCTGCGGGCGAGCGAGGGGGAGTCAGCACCGGGGCCAAGATTGGGAGAGAGGACAGATGTGGGGACGGGGATTGGGATGGGGACGGGGATGGGGGTGAGGAGGACGACAATGGTGGAGATTGGGATGGGGGTGGAGATGGGGGTGGGCAAGGGTTGGGAATTGGGGATGGGGAAGGGGACAGAAAGGTGTGGTACCTTTGGGGTCAGTGAGCCCCCAGCCAGTGGTGACACAGGTCATGCCCCCGGGGAAGTCGTCGGTGGCCTGGGGCAGGCAGACGGGGGACACACGGTCCGACAGCTGCGCCGGGGTGGCCAGTTTGATCAGGGTGATGTCGTCACGGATGGTCAGCATGTTGAACTTGGGGTTCTTGAAAACCTGCAGCAGGCAGCACCGCTCCCAGCGCCCGCACCCCAGCCAGGGCAACGGGCACTGGGGACTCCACAGGGACTGATGGGAGCCCCGGGTATTGATGGGGACCCTGGGGAACGGCCTGTGGGTCCCGGGTTGACGGGGTCCCTGGGATGCAGATCCCACCCCTGGGGCGCAGGGGAGAAGGGACGCAGAAGGGACTCGTGGGGCCCTGAGGGAGCAGACCCCGTCTTGAGCTGGAAGGGACACAAGGAGCAGATCCCAACCCCAGGGGCAGATGGTGGCAGGGACACCCCCGGGGACCAGGGACACCCCAGGGACACCCTCGGGACCAGGGACACCAACGGGGAGCAGACCCCAAACTCGGGGCTGATGGGGTCCCTGGGAGCAAACCTGTGCCCCTGAGGCACTGGGCAATGGGGACACTCGAGGGAGCAGGGACACCAAGAGGGACTCTGGGAACTTGGGACACCCTGGGGACCCAACCCGAGGGATGAGCGGGAGCAGGAACCCCCCAGGGGACCCCAGTCCAGGGATGTGGGACACCCCAGAGACCCTGATCCTCAGGAAAAGGGGAAGCAGAGACCCCCTGGGGACCTGACCCGCAGGACAAGGGGGACCCAGACCCGCAGGGCTCCCCGCGGGCGCTGCGGAACCCTGCAGGCACACGGTCCCCTCCCCGGCGGTACCTTCTCGATGGACAGCCTCTGCTCGTCAGGGGAGGGCGAGTCCTGGTCGTACGCACCCACCACCACGGTGTCGGTGGTCCTGGGCACAGGCAGGCGCTGAGCACCAGGCACAGGTATGGGGGGGGCCGTTGGGGACCCCGTACCCATTGCCCAGCCCACGCTGGCCGGTGGCAGAGCCGGTGCCTACCTGACGCCACAGTGGGCAGCGGTGACCACCCAGTTCTCGCTGATCAGCGACCCGCCGCAGAAGTGGAAGCCATCGTAGCGCTGCCGGGGAGAGCTGCCATCAGCACCCAGTGCCACCATCACCGCTGCTGGGGTGCTCTGTGCCCAGCCCCCACCCCGGCACGCACCCTGGCCCCCGACACGGCTCCCACCCTGCCTCCGACCCACCTCAGGCACTCACCTGGAGGGAGACCTGCCACGGCCAGGACCCTGGCACCGCTGGCTCCCCGTTGACGATGCGGTTGTAGCCACGGATGACAGGTGGGATGGCGGGCACGCCGCAGTCTGCGGGGCACAGACAGCCATGGGACGGGGGCTCCAGCTGCCCTGGACCCATATCCCCATACCCCGGCACAGCTGCCTCCCCCCAAGCCCCTCGCCCACCCCGCTGAGCCCCACGGCCTCACGCACTCTCCACAGAGAGGGTGGCACGGGCAGAGCCCGCCAGCGCCAGGCAGCTCAGTAGCCACAGGAGAGCCATTGCCACTTGTGGGGACAAACCCTGCCTGGGGCCTGGCACCTCTTATACCCACTGCTGGGCATGTCCCTGCTGCTGGCCTTGCTCCGGTGGCCTCGGGAGATAGCGTGTCACCTGGCACAGTGACAGGACAGGGCCTGGGAGCGTGGCACCTGGAGCCAGTGGCCTTCACCAGGCCTGTGGGTCAGCACTGGTGGAGTCTAAGTGGTGGCTTCAGCATGTTCCTTGGCCTGGTGCATGGGTTGGGCTGTGGCCACGTCTCAGAGTGGTTGAAGTTGGAAGGGATCTTGGAGCAAACCTGGTCCAAACCCAGCAGGGCCACCAAGGGACTACAGGTGGCTTATGAGTATTTCCAGGTGCCACGCTCCCAGGCCCTGTCCTGTCACTGTGCCAGGTGACACGCTATCTCCCGAGGCCACCGGAGCAAGGCCAGCAGCAGGGACATGCCCAGCAGTGGGTATAAGAGGTGCCAGGCCCCAGGCAGGGTTTGTCCCCACAAGTGGCAATGGCTCTCCTGTGGCTACTGAGCTGCCTGGCGCTGGCGGGCTCTGCCCGTGCCACCCTCTCTGTGGAGAGTGCGTGAGGCCGTGGGGCTCAGCGGGGTGGGCGAGGGGCTTGGGGGGAGGCAGCTGTGCCGGGGTATGGGGATATGGGTCCAGGGCAGCTGGAGCCCCCGTCCCATGGCTGTCTGTGCCCCGCAGACTGCGGCGTGCCCGCCATCCCACCTGTCATCCGTGGCTACAACCGCATCGTCAACGGGGAGCCAGCGGTGCCAGGGTCCTGGCCGTGGCAGGTCTCCCTCCAGGTGAGTGCCTGAGGTGGGTCGGAGGCAGGGTGGGAGCCGTGTCGGGGGCCAGGGTGCGTGCCGGGGTGGGGGCTGGGCACAGAGCACCCCAGCAGCGGTGATGGTGGCACTGGGTGCTGATGGCAGCTCTCCCCGGCAGCGCTACGATGGCTTCCACTTCTGCGGCGGGTCGCTGATCAGCGAGAACTGGGTGGTCACCGCTGCCCACTGTGGCGTCAGGTAGGCACCGGCTCTGCCACCGGCCAGCGTGGGCTGGGCAATGGGTACGGGGTCCCCAACGGCCCCCCCCATACCTGTGCCTGGTGCTCAGCGCCTGCCTGTGCCCAGGACCACCGACACCGTGGTGGTGGGTGCGTACGACCAGGACTCGCCCTCCCCTGACGAGCAGAGGCTGTCCATCGAGAAGGTACCGCCGGGGAGGGGACCGTGTGCCTGCAGGGTTCCGCAGCGCCCGCGGGGAGCCCTGCGGGTCTGGGTCCCCCTTGTCCTGCGGGTCAGGTCCCCAGGGGGTCTCTGCTTCCCCTTTTCCTGAGGATCAGGGTCTCTGGGGTGTCCCACATCCCTGGACTGGGGTCCCCTGGGGGGTTCCTGCTCCCGCTCATCCCTCGGGTTGGGTCCCCAGGGTGTCCCAAGTTCCCAGAGTCCCTCTTGGTGTCCCTGCTCCCTCGAGTGTCCCCATTGCCCAGTGCCTCAGGGGCACAGGTTTGCTCCCAGGGACCCCATCAGCCCCGAGTTTGGGGTCTGCTCCCCGTTGGTGTCCCTGGTCCCGAGGGTGTCCCTGGGGTGTCCCTGGTCCCCGGGGGTGTCCCTGCCACCATCTGCCCCTGGGGTTGGGATCTGCTCCTTGTGTCCCTTCCAGCTCAAGACGGGGTCTGCTCCCTCAGGGCCCCACGAGTCCCTTCTGCGTCCCTTCTCCCCTGCGCCCCAGGGGTGGGATCTGCATCCCAGGGACCCCGTCAACCCGGGACCCACAGGCCGTTCCCCAGGGTCCCCATCAATACCCGGGGCTCCCATCAGTCCCTGTGGAGTCCCCAGTGCCCGTTGCCCTGGCTGGGGTGCGGGCGCTGGGAGCGGTGCTGCCTGCTGCAGGTTTTCAAGAACCCCAAGTTCAACATGCTGACCATCCGTGACGACATCACCCTGATCAAACTGGCCACCCCGGCGCAGCTGTCGGACCGTGTGTCCCCCGTCTGCCTGCCCCAGGCCACCGACGACTTCCCCGGGGGCATGACCTGTGTCACCACTGGCTGGGGGCTCACTGACCCCAAAGGTACCACACCTTTCTGTCCCCTTCCCCATCCCCAATTCCCAACCCTTGCCCACCCCCATCTCCACCCCCATCCCAATCTCCACCATTGTCGTCCTCCTCACCCCCATCCCCGTCCCCATCCCAATCCCCGTCCCCACATCTGTCCTCTCTCCCAATCTTGGCCCCGGTGCTGACTCCCCCTCGCTCGCCCGCAGCCTCCCAGACTCCGCCGGTGCTGCAGCAGGTGGCCCTGCCCCTGCTCACCAACACCCAGTGCAAGCAGTAC